TATTACCAGGTCCGGATCTACGAAGTTCAGATTCCTCCAGGTGGGTGTTGCTTGGATCTGGCTGCTGTGCTCCACTTCTTTCTGCTGTAGCCGTTAGAGCTGAACCCTTTGTGTCTCTCTGACAAGATGTTCTGCTCCTGAATCAGCTGGGTGGGTCTTGCCTCTAGCCTCTTTGCACAGAGTTCTGCTGAAGGGTTCCGTGCTGGGCCTGCGCTCTGGGTCTATTCAGGATCCGGAGGACCCCAGGTTGTCTCACTCATTCCCCGGGCCTGCACTCTGGGTCTATTCAGGATCCCTTGGCCCTCGGTCGTCTAACTCACTTGCCAGGCCTGCGCTCTAGGTCTATTCAGGATCCCGCAGCTGCGTCCATATTTTTCTATTGCACAGGCAGAGATTCAGAATGGAACTCAGTAATAAAATGAACACAATAAAACATGATGTAATCAGCACCACTTCCTAGGTACTAGACAAATGCGGGCAAGTCTTGCACCTCCAAACTCAGGCAGCCGTACATCAAAGCTCGTGGTAGAGCACCTGATGCTTCAGTGTTCATGCACTGCTCCCCAGCGCTAGTGATGATCACATGCCAGTGTTGCACAGTGTGTCTCTCCACTTCTGGGGTCACTTGTGGCCTCATAGCCATTATTTGAGATTATGTTTCTTGGAAACATTCTGGACATTTTCTTTAGAAACACAGGAAGAATGCTGAAATCTTTTTATACTTGCATATTTAAGAATGTGACTACCTCCTGCTATGTAGTAATGATTGAATTTACAATTTGAAGCATTCTATTTAACATTTATAAGAAAAATATGAGGGCCAGCCAGATAGTTCAGCGGACTAAAGTGCCTGCATAGGCAGAGCTCAGGGACAACGGTTTGATCTCCAGCACCATAAGCAGTGTGGGCCTTGCCCTTGGGGTGTGCTGACACCTGTGATTGAGACTGGGCCTGGTTTTGCACGCCTGTAATCCCAGCACTTGCATGGCTGAAAAACAGAAGGATCACTACATGTCCAATCTGTGTATTCATTTCACAAGCCAGTTTTTCCAGATATTACTCCACTGAGGAGAATCTGGCAGAAATATTTCATTATCTAGGTATTTCTTCTCTCTTATTGGTTTCCATGTGTTTGCAGTTTTCAAATCACGTAGTTCCTTTTGTTTTTTGTCTTATCCCATCTGCTTTTCTACTAAAAACATCAAAAGTAGCATTGAGGAAAGTGTTCTGTCTCATTCTTGAGAATATGGAATACTTAGCTTATTCATGTTATTGGGTGTTTTAGTCTATGATTCAGGCATATATGTTGTAAAAATATTACCATAGAGTATTCCTAATCGATAAAATCCTAATTTGCAATTGCAATTTTAAAAAATTCTATCCTATGATACAAGGATGTTCTTGACTTAAATATGTTTTTCCCCTAAACTTAAATATGCCAACAAAAAGAGACTCTTTCATGATTTGCTAAGGTACCTACCAAAATCACTTCCCTAACCCACTGGCTTGAAAGCCATAATGAGTCTGTCTTAGACTCTTGTAATGGCAAGGACTGAAGGAATAGTACTTGTCTTAGACCTTCATGCACTGAGAAAAAGATAACACTAACATGTAATGTTTAGTTTTAAAATAATTTTTGATACTGGGAAGCAAATGTAACAGTAATAAGCCAGTGGGGTACATGTGCATGTATTTCCACAGAGTTTCTCACTAAGTTGAATAGGCTGGAGTCAATTTTGCTTTTCTTCCACCCCTGCCTCCTGAACTTTTGGGAATGAAAACATGTATCCCTAAGCCTACCACTTGTTTTTTTCACGGTAAAATCATAGGGAAGTAAATGTGACTAGGAGAAAATGGGTCATATTTTCAATATTCCATTAGTACCTGGGTAGCAATACATACTACATATCTTCCTGGTGATGGTAAGACGCAGAAATGTGCCATGAGGAATTTAACATAATGTGTAAAAATTGACAAGGGACTCTGCAGTGTATTATATTCAGTGAATATCAGATACTTTAGATATTAAATAGTTGTGTTTTTAGATGATTTTACACAACTGGTTAGTAATTTATGTGTCTAAACAGAATAAAGTTTTTGACAAGCTACTGAGTTCACTGCATTATCAGTATTTAATGCTTTATTCATTTATGTTTTCATGATATCATAGGTTTTAACAACATAGCCCTATTGACTTTGAGTAGCTTTTGTGCTCATGAATACTGTATGAAACACTTTAAAATAGATTAATTACTGAAATGATTTTATAACACAGGTCATCTGAGACCACTCAGATTCATGCACACTTAATCCATATATGTGTTCTAAGCCATTTGTAACATACCTCAACATCAGACAGTAGACCTCATGAACAATGAAAAGGAGCATTGTAACAAGGCACCACATTTGATCCTTGGTACAAAAATTTAAAATGCACCTCAAAATTTGGTAAAAAAAGAGAACATAATGTAAATTATAGATTTCAGCTTTTGATACACTGCTCAATATCTCTTATGAGTTAGGTTTTCTTTAATGTCAATATTATAGCTTAGTAGGTAAAAACAATAAGGATTACCAAGTATAGAATGGCATCACAGTATGAGAGAATAAAGGCACTCGCTGTGTACATTTAATAGCAACTGTACTCCCGGAAACACCTCCATAGCTGAACAACGTTTTGAAAGTGTTGTTACTGATAAATTATATCATCATTCATACTTTCTGGAGATTACTATAATCCTTTGGGAGATAAGTTATGGTCCTGCAGGACTCTGGCAATCAGAAACTCAGCCTTGGCTTATTTTTGGTAAATGTGGTGAAAAAAATCCTAGTAACTTAAAAGTCATTGCAATATAATTATGAAAAGTAAAATCTTTTATAAGAATAAAACTTTATGGAAAGGATGACATTGAATCCAAAATGAAAATAAATACAACATTATATACATGATATAATATACAATTAACATGGGCATATAAGCAGGTATCTTGCCATGATATGAAAAATGAAATTTGTTAATCCAAAAATTATGTCATAACAATCCAACTTTGTTAAACACATGCTCAGAAGTCTATGAAAATATATCTTAATAGGAAAATATCATTAATTGAAGAATATCTTGTTACAGAGCATACCAAAATTTAAAACAAGAACAGTGAAAAATGTGAATAACTTTAAAAAAGCAATTACAGAATAAAGTTTTTGATGTGCTATAACTCCCAACTGTACAGACAAAATAAAAACTGCAAAAACACTGACTGGAAAGTAAAAAAAAAAACTTCAACCACCATGATAAATTAAATGACACTATGTATTATGGTCAGAAAGACTCCACATAACTCAGCTACTCATTTATTAGTAATTTACTGAAAACCACACAAAATATGTACTTGCTGATATCTCCATGTGGAAATGGTATTCTTTGGGGAATTTATGGAGAAATATTGACATCAAACTTTCTTGTATTCAATACAGGGTCTCACTATGCAGCTCGCATTTGTAGGTGATCCTCCTGTTTTCAGCCTCCCCAGCACTGGGATTACAGGCATGCGCCACCATGTGCAGTCTTGGTGGCTGGCTTAGTGTATGCAGGGGATAGGGTGGGCGGCATGTGGTGCAGGGGATTGAACCCTGGTTGCTATGCTTGCATAAGCATGGGCTTAGTCCACCTTGCTATCTTGCTGCCCTGTATTATTTATTTCTCCATGTCTCCTCCACAGGAATAATTTCACAAAAATTTCAAAATAAGCATACAAATATTTCTCCCTAGTAAGGCTTTCATTTGTTTAACATTACATATGTGTGCTGAAAGCACTACTACAGTGCTTAAGTACATAAAGTTTATCTCCAGTGAGTTTTTTTATGTCTATTTAATGAAGACTTAGTAACAAATTTTTTTTCACATTGCTCACATGCATAGTGTTTCTCCCCTGTGTGAATTCTTTCATGTGTGTTACATTCATTGTGCAACCTGAAAGCTTTCCCACATTGTTTACATACATAGGGCTTCTTCTGCTCAGAGTGACTTCTTTTATGTTTTCCAAAACCACTACGTGTCATGAAGGCTTTCCCACATGGCTTACATACATAGGGTTTTTCCCCAGTGTGAAATCTTTCATGAACTTCCATACCATCACATGTCCTGAAAGTTTTCCCACATTGCTTACATATGTAGGGGTTTTGCCCAGTGTGAGTTTTTTTATGTTCTTGACAAACACTATGTGTGCTGAAAGCTTTCCCACATTGTTCACATACATATGGTTTCTCCCCAGTGTGAATTCTTTCATGCCTTTGACAGTTACCCTTTGTGCTGAAAGTTTTCCCACATTGTTTACATTTGTAAGGTTCCTCCCCATTGTGATTTCTTTCATGTATTCTACAATAATACAATGTCCTGAAAGCATTCCCACATTGTTTACATACGTATGGTTTCTCCCCTGTGTGAGATCTTTCATGCTTTCGACAATTACTCTTTGTGCTGAAAGTTTTCCCACATTGTTTACATACACACGGTTTCTCTTCAGTGTGAGATCTTTCATGTACCTGACAATGACTCTTTGTGCTGAAAGTTTTCCCACATTGTTTACACATATAAGGTTTATCCCCAGTGTGATTTCTTTCATGTATTTTACAATAATACAATGTCCCAAAAGCTTTCCCACATTGTTTACATACATATCGTTTATCCTCATTGTGATTTCTTTCATGTATCTTACAATAATACAATGTTCCAAAAGCTTTCCCACACTGTTTACATACATATGGTTTCTCCCCAGTGTGATTTCTTTCATGTATTTTACAATAATACAATGTAATGAAACCTTTTCCACATTTCTTACATACATATGGTTTCTTCCCAGAATGACGCCTTTCATGTCTCTGACAATCAAGACGTGTTTTGAAAGCTTTCCCACATTGCTTACATACATAGGGTTTCTCCCCAGTATGAGTACTTTCATGTATTTTACAATAACCCTGGGTGCTAAAAGCTTTCCCACATTGCTTACATACATAGGGTTTCTCTCCAGTGTGACTTCTTTCATGTATTCGACAAACACTATGTGTGCTAAAAGCTTTCCCACAGTGCTTACATATGCAGTCTATTTCCCCAGTGTGAATCCTTTCATGGACTTTACAATACCTCTGAGTACTAAAACCTTTCCCACATTGCTTACATATATAGGGTTTACCCCCACTGTGATTGCTTTTGTGGATCTGAACATCATTTGTTGTACTGGAGTCTTTCAAATTTTTCTTACATTCAGAGATATTCTCTATAAGGTGAATTCTTTCACTAACATCAGAGCAGGATTTCCCACATTGATCATACTCATAGGGTTTGTCTTCGGCCTTTGTCCTTGCATGCTTGTGAAAGGACAGAAAACTGTCACAGCTTCTTCCAGTTTCATTACACCTGTACAGCTTTTCTTTCCATCTCAAATACTCACTTGGCTTCAGTGCAGCGGGAGCTCCGATGGGCACATTTAGTGACAAATACCCAATGTGTGGATTTCTATAAGGAAGGAGTTCATCCTCATTAGCATCTGGAGTAGGAAGGAATATTCCTTTATATTGGTTCCAAACTTTATATTGATAGCATTTCTGTACCTCTTCATTTCTGGTAAACAAACAAAAATCCAATAAAACTGGTGTTGATATTAATGCTTTATTAAAATGCATTTTCTTTTGATGCCTGCTTAGAAATGTTGACAGTGAATGAAATGGATTGGATTGTTTTATTTTCTTCTCTTTTTGACTTTGAGACAGCGTCTCTCTATCTAATTCAGACTGGCCTTGAGCTCATTTTCTAGCCCAGCTTAGTCTTGAACTTGCAGTGATCATCCTGTCTCATTCTCCAACATACTCTCATTTCAGGCATGTGCCACCACACCCAACCTGGAGGCTATCTATAAAGTCACCATTCCCAAAACAGTATTGTATACTTGGAAATATTAAAATTTGTATTTTGCAATATACATGTTTTAGTTTCATTTTGGGCAATTGTTTCATATGTACAATCACATATTGATTACATTTTATACCTTTTCCCCATCATCTTTGTCTTTATCCTTACCCTATTAATCTTTCCCATCTCTAACATATCAGCCATTCCTTTGTTTAGCACCCCTTCATTTCACATCCTATCTTTTTGTTTCTCACATAATAGAAAGAAAGGCATTTTACTTTCTGTACCTGATTTATTAAACTTAACATTATGCGATCAAGACTCATACTTCTGTTGGCAAATGACATAGTATCATTCATTTCATGGCTGATTACTATCAGTTTTTACTTTCAGTGCTGGAAATTAAATGTAGCTTAGCAATGAACCAGATCTCCTGCTTCTTTGTATCTTATTTTGAAAGAGAGCCTCATTGAGAATTAAGTTGCTGAAGCTGAGCTTCAACTAGCCATTCTGCACAATAATCCTCCCAGAATGTTGGCTTTATAAGAATGAATCATCCCAATGAGCCTATCAAAATTTTTTTTATCTATGCACCCAATCATGGACACCTACTCTGGTTACAGAGCCAAGAACTTATGAGCTGACCTGCTTTGAATACAGGTATGCATGTATGAGCATCACACAATAATTTTAACTGTTCTGGGAATATTCTAAAGAGAGGTCAGCGGGGATTAAATGGAATTTCTATTCTTATTTATTTAAAAGCTAACAAAATACATAATGAGGGGGCTGGGAGATGGCTCAGTAAAATGAGTGTTTCCCTGGCAAGCACAAGGTCCTGAGTTCAATTCCAGGCTCTGGAAAACAACAACAACAACAACAACAACAACAAACAAACAAACAAACAAAAAAAGCATAATGAAAAACAATAAAATAGAATAGACCCAGAGCCCAGGCCCAGCATGTGAGCGAGAATGCCCAGGGCCCTTGGATCCTGAATAGACCCAGAGCATAGGCCTGGCATCTGAGTGAGACCACGTGGGCAAGAGCCCAGAAATTCAGCACAGAAACAGTATACTAACATTGCCAGTTAAGCGGAAGACCCAATACTGTTATGGGCTACTGGACTCTTTTGGAATATTTTGTTGAATTTACACACCTATAATATTCAAATAATGGAACTTAACAAACAAAGGGTATACAGATGATTGTATCTGTGTATTCAAAGTGGTTTGGATAGATATATAGTTACATTCTCTTAATGAATAGAATGATTTGTTCTAATGGTGTTTGTGAATAGGATGTCAAGTCCGCATCTTGTACAGCAATTAACCACTAGGAAGAATGTATGCAGTGTGTTAATTATTGAAACTGTCCTACTGATTTGATTTGCAACTGTCTCACTGCTATTTGTTTATCAATAAAATTATGGGGAAAAAAAAAGATTTAGAATCCAAAAAAAAAAAAAAAAAAAAAGGAAACTAAAAGCTGCTAAAGAAAAGAAACAGATCACATTTAAAGGAAAACCCATCAGAATAACGGCAGATTTCTCTTCACAAACCATCAAGTCAAGAAGAGCATGGAGCAAAGTACTGCAAGTCTTGCAAGAAAACAAATTCCAACCCAGACTGATACACCCTGCAAAACTCTCTTTCAAGAATAATGGAGAACTGAAATACTTTGATGACAAAGAATAACTAAAGAATTTCATGCTGACAAAGCCAATCCTACACAGACTACTAAATGATGTTCTGGAGAAGGAACAAAATGATCACAGCCCATGAATGAGAATGGAAAGAACCCACCAAATAGGGCAAACAATTAAACACAGGAGAATAAGGGGTATACAATAGTAGTCTTTCAGTTATTCTTTTGTGTTCAACAGCAGAATATTTTCATCAGCACACCCTACAAATGGACTTCTCTTCCATTTGATGAGTTATGATTCCACCTGAGTCTACAGGGTGGATTTCAAAGAAATAGCTGTAGCTCAGTTCCACAAGTGACGCCTAGCCACCAGTAACTGCCACAGTCATTATGCATGTCCACAACACACTAGAACTTTGTGCGATATCCTATCCTCAAACTGTTAGAAGTGCTGGTCATTTACTTGCCATTCCAGTATTTATCTTATGTTTTAGTCTTAGTACTTCTTTGCTATCATGAAAACTTTTTCTTAGTTCAATTGTTTTGAAACATTTAATTTTCCGAATATTGCTTAATCTTAATTTTTGTTCTAAGATTTATATTGTATCTTTGACTTATAATTTATTTAAAAGATATAGTATGATATCTTCTCCTAGTATTAGAAACTTTAAATAGTATATTTCCATTTTCTGTTGACTTTATATTACTTCTTCCCTGTCTTTTATGCACACATACACACACATATATATATGAAAAAAAATATGTGTATAACCCAACATAAGATTGGTACTGTTTCATAGAAATCTTCAATGACCTTTAAATAAGGGTTCATCTAATAAATTTTATATAGTCCTGAATGACTATCATATTGAGAGCTCTTTATTGTTCATCCAGGAACATACTACATACTACATACTACATACTACAACTTCTCTTGCCTCTTTGTTATTTCCTATATTCTACATCTGGAGGTATTAAAATATTTCAAGATTGTATAACTAGAAAATATTACTTTTAGTTTTCAAAGGTATGTTTGCTAAGTATAAAATTCAAAGACAGATCTTTTTTTTTCTTTCAGTCTTTTAATTAGTTTCTTACACACTTGGTCCTTTTTTCATTCTAATGTGAAATAAGATGCTACTTAATTTTTTTCTTTCATAGCTAATACTTTTTATGTATATGCTTTAATGATTTTTTTCTTTACAATAAATTATGGACAAGTTCATTTTTGTGTATCTTGGTAAGATTTTATTTAAATTTCTTGTGCAAAAAGGTTCATTTTCTTGGAAATAAGGTAATACAAGTTGAACTAAATTCAGAAATTTTAAATCTTTAAATATTTATTGCCTACTCCTTTCTGCTTTGAGAATTCTAATTATATGAATATAAGTTTCTTGGTTTTGACAGTGAACTATTATGACTGATCTGTAAATTCTTTCTTCATTTTAGACAATTTTTATTGTTATATTCATTTATGTTTGCAAGTAATTTATTTTCAATTTGTAATCTATTAAAAAATTAAAAGACAAAAGAAAAATGATAAAATAATACAAAATTTCAAAATAAGATGATAGGAAATTAATAATGACTGTTATGTTGCCTATTGCTATCTTCAAAGTAGTTCAGATTACTAGGTATAGTCATGCACAATTGAGCAAATAATTGAGCAGTAAATGTTTCTTTCAGTAAGTCAATGGAAATTAATAGTACCATCAATATACTGATGAGCAGAGTGGCTGTACTTAACATTCGCACCCAAAATGTTGAAGGCTGCTTCTAAGAATTAAAAAGAAAAAGGAATTAACTCAATTCTCTGGACAATGTTTTCAATATCTATTATTACAACAGCAGCACTCGTACTTTGAATAATGCTTCAAATTTAGCAAGATTTTTAGATACTGAATTCCTCATATTCACATGTACACATAGATATCCTAAAAATCCCAAATTTTTTTTTGCATGTATACATGTATATAAAATATCTAAATGCAGTTTCATACATATGATGTTGACTATGAAAGAACGTTTTATATTATATATCAGATATTGTCATTTACTATATGATTTAAGTACTAATTTAGTTTCCTATTTTGGAATATTTCTAAATTTATTTGTGAGATTATACATATACAAGCTGAATACATTGGTGGAGAATATTTGTGAGAGTAAATAAATTTGAGCATGGCCTCACTGTTTCGATTGTAATATTTCTCCTCATACATGGACTCTTAAGGGGAACATTCCTTTTCTTTGTGAGTGTGAATTACCTTAGGCTTTTCGAGTAATTATGATACCCTTCTTCAATTTCCTGGTTATCCAGGTTTTCCCCTGAAATAAAGAAACAGAAATATAAGGAGTCACTGCATCATTACATGAAATTCAGTAGATTCCAGTTAGCTTCAAAATACAAAGTAACCAGGCCTCAGAAATTTTTAAAAAATTTTCATATGAAATTGCACTGATGAACAACAAACAATAGTCTTTAATCGTATAAGTGAGAAAGTGATGTCATCCTTACCTATAGCAGCAATGTTCTTAAATGTTTCTCCCATCACATCTCTGTAGAGCTTCTTTTGAAATGGATTCAGCAAAACCCACTCCTCCAAAGTGAAGTTCACAGCCACATCCTCAAAAGTTACTGCCTCCTAAAAGATTATACATATATTTACTGAAGGAAGGCTGAGACTCATAGCCTCGGATAACTCTACTCCTCTCATAAAGCCTAACTGAGAGCCAGGTGTGGTGGTGACTATTTGTAATCACACTCATGAGGCTGAAGCAGAAGGAACACCATGAGTTCAAGACAAATGTGGTTTTCACATGAAGTTTAAGGCCTTTATGAATTACACAGTGAGACCCTATCTTAATAAAAGAAAACAAAATATCTTAATAGAAGGTGAAACCTTCAAATATTAACTTCATGTCTTGGTCATCAGTACCATGTGTATGGGCGACTGCTTCAATAATATATATGATAGACATTCACATTCCAACATCATGAGACTGTCTCATTAGTAGAATGGATCGCAGGAATGGAAGACGGTTTTCAATGAGTCCACATGTATATTGAACAATGACTAATGAAAGAGCAGGTGTTACGCTTCTCCAGAAACAATCAAATCTTTTTCACTTATGTTCAGAAGAAACAAATATGTACTTGGAAGCCTGCATAGTATACTTTTCTATTCTATACAATAATTACACTTGAACCTTGAGCTTTCATGCTGGAAATCCTTTAGACGTGAAAAGTGTTTACTCATAAGAAAATAATGCAAATATAAGAATTATTATTATTATTATAATTTCTTTTGGTAGAACCGGGGATTGAACTCAGGTGCTCGCAATTGAAAGGCAAGCGTTTATTCTACTGAGCCATCTCTCTGGCCAAATATCAGAATTAAAGTACAAAGGGAAATATTTGCAAATCATTAGAAATAAACCAAACAAGAGAATACTTGTGGTATTTTACAGAGTATGAAGATTTTATATATAATAATCAATGAACATAAACCCTAAAAGTGATTACAATATATTTTACTCAAGAGAAAACACTGAATAGAAAACAAGGATGAAACTCATTTGAATGAATCACGAGAGAAAATGGAAGTGTGGATGAACACCATAAGGAAATCAACTTCTTTAAGAAAAAGCTATATACACAGTTTCTTCACTTTGGAATTTACCAAAACATACAAACCAGTGATTTTTATCCAATGTTATGCTATTAATCATACAGAGAGTTGTAATTCTCTTCAAGTAAAATTAAGAAAACCTGAATCAGATCACAACTTTCTTCATGATTCACATATCAACACCTGTAAACAATAATTACACAAAAAGAAAACTGAAAACATTTCCCTGCAATGTCTACAGTATTTATTATGAACTACAAGGAATACTATTCATAGCAAATCGCACGTGGTAAACTGAGGAAAAGTCACCAAATAGGAAGAGTGGTCACAAATGGCTCAAGAGAAATTTGAGTCAGGTAAAGTAGGTAGCACCTGGATACT